GAGGTTGGAGGGGATACGAATGGGGACGATGCAGGCGGAATCCCTTGTCGGAGGGAAGGGAAGCGCGGGTGCGGGTCCGAGCAGTGCTCCCTCTCGTAGCAGCTTGGTTGTCCCACCCACGATGGTGTCGAGGCCCCTTGTCCCGGCTGTTGGGGAGTCGTTCACACCGGCGACATCTGGGAACGCTGCGCCGTTGGCCGGACGGCCGACAAGGCAAACTCTTATCGAGGAGGCGGACAGCATCGTCACGCACAATGAGCAGACCAGCAGATACCTGGACCGTTTTCTGATTTGTACAAATCAGCCGTTCAGCCTGCTGGAGAACTACTACTTCTTTCAGTTCATCGATGCAGTCAAGAAGTCCCATCCGAGTTGGTGGCCTTGCAAGAGGGATGAGATGAGGACGAGGCGGTTGAACAGTCAACGAAGACTTGTTGGGGATGAAATGAGTACTCTTGCAAGGAAGTGGGAGAGGACTGGCTGCATGCTGCAAATGGACGGGTGGTCTGACAGGAGGAACAAACCACATCTGAACATAATGGTTTCCTCCCCGATTGGCACCGTTTTTTGGAATTCAGTCTGCATGGAAGGGAAGGACAAGGTGCTGGAAGGCGTCATCGAGGAGGTTGGTCCGCGGTCCGTCGTCGCTGTCGTGATGGATAACGCCAGGGTCTGTTCAAAGGCCGGGAAGATGGTGGAGGCGCGGTACCCTGGGATTTTCAGTGTGGGTTGCACAGCCCACGCGTTGGACTTGGCACTGGAAGACATGTATAAGAGGATGGACTGGATGAAGTGGTTGACAAGGGGAACCGAGTGGGCAAATTCGTGACCAACGTCGATAAGATCCGGGCCATGTACAACAGAATTGCAAAAGCCCAACTCAAACGCCCAGCCGTCACACATGTTGGAGTCCTTGAGGAGCGGGAGGACTTCACTTGAGTTGTGTCGGGAACGTGGCATGGGTTGACAAGTTGGTAAGGCCTGAGCAGGTGCCTGCATTCAACGCTGTGACGCGCATCATTGTCGACAGTCGAGGCTTTTGGGACGAGGTGGACAGAGCAATTTCTGTGATGGAGCCAGTAGTCAAGTTGCTGCGTATGGTGGACGGTCCCGGAGCCACTATCAGCAAAGTGTACTTCGGCATGGACGCGATCGTGGCACAAATGCGGATCCTCGACTGTCTGACGG